GGATGGATGGATGGATGGATGGATGGATGGGATGGATGGATGGATGAGATGGATGGGACAAACACTCATGTACTATTAGTATAAGGTGCCAAATTGTATTGTATTGTATTGTATTGGGATGGATGGGATGGATGGGAAATATGCTATTAATGGATAAATATAAACCAATCATATCAAACCTGGACATTTGTAGAGTATCTGTGCTTGCATGACGTCCAACTGAGTCAGATATTTCCAGTCTCCCATCGTAACCTTATAAAATAGGAAACACAACTGYATTTTACTCATGCAGCGTCGGTGGTATAATGGTCAGCATAGCTGCCTYCCAAGCAGTTGATCCGGGTTCGATTCCCGGCCGACGCATGATTTTTTTTTATTCAGTAATAAAATTAATAAAATTATAACTGAAATTATAATTAATATATGCGCTATTAACAGCAATAGCATTTTAAAAACTTTTATAGCTACCGTTAATCAAAGATTTACTAAAAAAAAACCAAATCCAAAACACACACACACACACACACAAAAACGGAAGCCGTGTCAATGTTGCAATGTTAAGCGTGAGGTGTGCGTGACGTTAGTCTGTCATGACATCACTTACCCCAGATGTTTGAGGTACTATAGCATCGTCACCATTCTTGAAGTCGAATCATGCTCCATATTGCGTGATACATGAATAATATTAATCAGAGCGTGACAAGAATGCGTGACGTTAGCATTTCACGATATCACTTACCCCAGATCTAAGAGGTACTATAGTGTCACCATTCTTGGACGCGAATCCAGCCCCATAGTGCATAATACTCGCGTAATCATATGGAGTCGTGTAGGACAGAGAGTCGCCACTGCTCTTTTCAAAGTCGAAACGTCGACCTGGAAACCAAGAAACGTGAGAAGTCAGCGGTTTGGGAGCAATCGCGGGCTCTTCATGCTTATTTACAATGTGAAACACATCAGTAAGAGAGCTTCACTTCCCGAAATAATATAGGAGTTTAAGAATTGATTTTGGTGTTTTCATGGCAACTACATAGAGTGTAATTTTAGCTTGGAGTAGCTGATATCCTCCCAACCCCTCCCCTGAAGGGTAACTCCGTGTCATCTACGTCACAGTGTCTGGCATCATACTATCTTTGATGTTATTCTATTTGAGCGTGAGGTACTTGTCTTGATCAAGACAATAGACCTTCCCGCACCCCACCCCTGAAGGGTAACTCCCTGTCATCTACGTCCCAGTCTCTCTTATATTTTCATCATACCATCTTTGATGTTATTCCACTTGATCGTGATGTACTTGTCTCGATCAGGACGAGTGTGCTCGTGTTCAAACCCAATCACGTGACCTGGAACACAAGAGAACAGAGTTGTACTTATTATACATAGTAATAAGCCTGAAGCGAGATGACGTTTTACCCCCGTCTCTAGACCATACTCCTTTTCACACGCTTTTGTTCTTTAATTATGACTATTGTTCCTGTATTCTCTAAGGAATCCAAAATTTGAATATGAAAGAATTTTAAAAACTATTATGGTCTAGAGACGGGGGTAAAACGTCATCTCGCTTCAGGCTTATTATAAACTACTTTCCAGTCTATTTATCTATCACATCCATCCATCCATCCATCCATTCATTCATTCATTCATTCGTTCATAATTCAATCCTATCCATTCATCCATTCATTCAATCTATCCCTCTGTCCCATCCAATTCCATTTATCCTTCCATCACATCCCATCCATCCATCCATCCCATCTCTCTAACCCATCCAATCCCATACATCGATCCATCCCATATCATCCATTCATCCCATCCCTCTTACCCATCCAATCCCATACATACATCCACTTATCCATTCCTTTCATCCCATCCATCCCATCCATCCATTCATCTATAACCCATAGCTTACCTAATTCGTGAACGATCATGCCTTGGTACCAGCACCTCTCGGCCAACACAACCTTGTATGAGTAACCATAGTAACCAACACCATACGACGCACACCTGAAAATGAATAAATGAAATGAGCTTAAAAATCGATAATTAATGTATAGTTTTTAAGGACCACAGGTTTGTTAGTATTTTTATGCTATTACGTGCCACCCTCATTAAATAAAGCATTCATTATTATTATCATTATTTATAGATTTCCGCACTGCGCATGCGTCGTATTGTCTACGTCACCAACCTGCCGTTGTTGTCCTTAACAAAAGTAATGAAGGCATTCTGGTTGGTGCGAGGAACAAACTTGATGCAGGTTTTTGACATCCATTCGTTTATTGCATTGATAATCTCTTTCTTGCCTTTCGAGTTCCCAGCTGAACAAAATAATACAAAAGTACAAATAAACGAACAAAAAATAGATTAAAAGATACCAAAAA